CACGCTTTGTTAATGCATTCATTAATTGATGCACTTTTGGCTGTTATGAATAATGCTGCTATGAACGTTTGAATAACATTTTTGTACGGACACGTGTTTTCAGTTATCTAGAGTATATACCTAAAGTTGGAATTTCTAGGCCATATGGTACCTCTGTGTTGAATTTTGAGGAACTGCCAAAACTTCTTCAAAGTAGCTGCACCATTTTACATTCCCACCAGCAAGAAATTTCTAATTCCTTATCCTCGCCAATATTGTTATTGTTTTCCTTTTTGATTATAGACATTCCAGTGGATGTAAAATGATATCTCATTGCAGTTTTGATTTGCATTTCCCTAATGACTAATGATGCCGAGCATGTTTTCATGTGCTTATTGACTATTTGAATATCTTTTTTTGAGAAAGTTCTATTCAAATCCTTTCTCCATTTTTAATTAGATTGTCTTTTTATTAGTGAGTTGTAAGAGTTCTTTATATATTCTGGATACTAGACTCTTATCAGATATATGATTTGCAAATATATTCTCCCATTATCTATGTTGTCTTTTTATTTATTGACAATTTCTTTTAAAGCATGAAAGTTTTTAATTTTGATGATGTCCAATTTATCTATACTTTCTATGGTCACTTTTCTTGTCATTTCTAAAAAACCACGCCTAATCCAATGTCATAAAGATTTAGTTTAAGTTCTTACATTTAGGTGTATGATCTGTTGTAAGTTAATTTTTGTATATGATGTGAGGTAGGGATACAACTTGACTCTTGCATGTGGGTATCCAGCTGTTATACCAGCTGTGTTATCCAGCTGATATGCACCAGTTATTGAAAAGACCATGCTTTCTCTATTGAATTGTCTTAGCACTCTTGTCAAAAATCACTTAAACATAAATTTCAGGGGTTTTCTCTGGACTTTCAGTTCTAATCCATCAATCTGTCTGTCTATCCCTATGTCAGTATCATCTTGATTACTATAGGTTTGTAGTAACATTTGAAATTAGGAAGTGTGAATTCTCCAGCTTTGTTCTTCTTTTTCAAGATTTTTTTGGCTGTTTTGGATCCCTTACTTTTCCATATGAATTTCAGGATCACCTTGTCCATTTCTGCAAAGAAAGGCAGCTTGGATTTTGAAAGAGATTATGTTAAATCTCTAGATCACTTTGGGGAGTACTGCATCTTAACAGTATTAATTCTTTCAATCCATGGGCACAGGATATCTTTCCATTTATGTAGGTATTCTTTAGCTATGACATCTGTTAGTTTTCAGTCTACAAATCTCACTCTTATTTTGTTAAATTTATTCCTGAGTATTTTATTCTTTTTGATTCTATTGTAAATGGAATTGCTTTCTTAATTTCATTTTCAATTTATTTATTGCTAAATATGGAAATACAATTGATTTTTGTATACTGATCTTGTGTCCTGCAACCTTGCTGAACTTGCTGAACTAATAATTTTGGAGGGAATTCCTTAGAATTTTCTACATAGAATTTCTGTGGCTTTCTAGATTCCCAAGAAGACGTAAAAGACTTTCAAAGTCTCCTATGGACCTCCCATCCCTCAATTTTTCCTTTCAAGTTTTTTGGTCTACCTCTTGTTACCCCAAATGATAATCGTACCTCAGGCCACTGTAATGTTAAACAACTGGCACTGATTATTTCCAACAAATACCCTGGGGATAATGCTCTTCATACAGAGTAAGTTCTGAGTCAGGTTAAACAAGAACAAGCTCTGAGAATGGAACTTTTCAGCAAGGTTCCAGACAGGCCAAATAGTAGAAATTCTATACGGACTGGGCTTTAGAGGAGCTCCAAATCATTTTCCCCCTCCAAGGGCTCATAGGCTGCTGGTTGCCATAGCTATCAGAGTGCAAGGCTATTGATTGTTAATGCTACCAGAGCTGAGGAAGAGGATAGAATTACGGTATTTTAAAATGCCATATATCTTGCTGTACCTACTAAGATTCAGCATTTTTCTTGAATAAACCCTCCTTAGATTGTTATAAACCTTTAGTTATTTTCCAGAGTTCCCAAAAAGATGACTTTGACAGTTTTTGCAAGTGTTCTCATCTCTTTTATGGAGGAGTAAAATTTTCGTGGTCTTTATTGCACCATTCCAGAAGTTAGTCCAATGCCTTTGTTTCTTGTATTTTTAGATTCCTACTCCAGAATTCTCAAAAGAGTGGTGAAAGATAAGAGGTGAGCCAGTTTCCTTGGAAAATGCATTTTATAGGAAGTGGGCAGGTGGACTAGTTGCCAATTCTAAAAAAATAACAAGGAAAAACTAATACGCCAATGAATCTAATGTATTGGAAATATATTTTTTTCAGTGACAACACTGAAACGTAGCTTCAGCATTGTATGTATAAACTTCTTTTCTCTTTGCTTACTATTAATTCAGTACCAAACAGAATTGAAAATAATATTTTCACAACACCAAGCATTCAAGCCCATACCTATACATCCTCTTAGTACTCACTAGTGAGAGTGAAGAGGGGAAATTCCCTATTTTTGTTACTTTTTTCCATGTGCAAAGGATGTCTCAACGCTGTGCTACCAAAATGAGACATGTTGTGGCAGCTACTAGAGATGAGGCAAAGTGCTGAGAAAATTAAACTCTTTCAGACTTGCCCTAAAAGACCTTAACCCTTTAGTGTGACAGCAGCATCTCAGGGATTGCCCACAAATTCATTGGAAGGGAAACAACAAATCCCACTGCTAATATCAATATATACATTATTGCAGTCTTGGATTATGTAGAGGTAAAACTTTTAAAAATATTTTTTTAGGATAGCACTTAATATCCAACTTTTAAGGTTATGTGGAATCTAAACATTTGTGGAAAGTGCTGAATGAAACAGCAATATTTCAATATAATTATTATATTTCATGATACACTATATAGCCACTGATCAGCTCCGGGAATCCATCCTTATCACTTCTGAAATTAGCAGAGAAAGGGTAGCAGGAATTATTCCCCTTCAGATATCTCCAGAGAGCAGCCCTTGCTCCTTCTAGATTTATAGCCCGGGCACCCAAACCAACAGCTGCTTCAGTATGATGGGAGCAAAGTGAGATTCTCAGCTTAGATACGGACAAGCACTGAGGCAGGGAAGGTGTACTATGTTCCTTTTTTGATTCGGCTAATTGCTGAATGACATTTTAATAAGCACCAGAGATAGCACAACCTGCTGTTTATGTTAAAATCAGCCCCAAGCTGCAGACAAGAATTTTAACTGTAGAATCCAGCAGGAACGCCCCGATACCAAGGTTGGGCAAAATGAAAACACCCTAATTGCTGCATATCTTTGAAGTCCATAACCAAGAGATAGGAAAACTTTCTCCCCTTCCTATAGGAAGAATCAGTTCCAAAGGCTGGAGCAAGGACAATTTCCCTACATGCTGTTAAAATCTCAATTAGAAATTTCAATTTGAAGATTCTGAGAGTTCTTTGCACTCATTTTATCTGAACTAACATTTTAGACAGTTGGTTTATGATCTTCCAGAAAACCTTGTTTCAAGATAAGCCCTTTCATCTTTCAAATGGCTTTGGGGCATCTTTCTCAGTGCCAGGAACACAGCCATCCATTTCACAAATGATGACATTACTTGGCCTTCCTTTTACAAACATCCTTCCTATCCACAACAAAGCAGTGAATGTTTCAACAGCATCTGAGGCCTACAAATTGTCTCTGTAAATCTCCCCCACGAGGAAATCAATAGGTGTTTTCAGAAAGTCAAAGAGTTCTCCCATATACTAATAAGCTGAACACCTTGGGGAAAAAAAGTGTTGGAGGAGTTCACTTCTGTGATGAGTGTCTTATGATCATCCCTTGGCCTGTTTTTCTACCCTAAGATTGAACGCTGAGAGAAGACAATTTTCCTCCAAAACAGGCAAGGCAGTTGTTAGCCAATGTGACCTTGAACAAATCACCTAAGCCTTAGTCACTCTGATCTCCTTATATTCAAATGGGAATAACAGTACTTCCCTAAAGGGTTGTACTGAGGCATGAGTTTATGTAAAATGCCTGCCTCATGCCTGGCTCCTAGTCAATGCTCAATAAAAGGTAGCTCTGATGATGACAAGGATCAGATTGATGATGGCGCTGATTGATGATTGGCAAAAAAGATAATACCTATGATTAGGTGACATCAAGATTTAGCTCAGAAACTCCCTACTCTTTTGACCATCTCCTTTTTCCTTCCCTTACAGTGTTCATTCCTCAACACTCAATGAGTCCAGATCCCCAGACAGAAAGAGAATATCAACAGTTGAATAAATTTAAACATCTGCAATTTAAAGAGGACTGCAAGAAAACAATGAGCAAAGTACTCAACAGGATGAATTCAGGTGCTGGAGCATCTGTCCAGAGCAACTTTTTGTGGCTAGCCAGGGAGGAAGGAAGGAATGAATGAGACTGAAACCGGCAAACAGCCATTGATGATTAAGTATCTAGGTACTAAAGTTCTTTTCCTTTTTGCAATAACTGATTATAGCTTTTAGCTGTGTAACACACCCATTGTTGACTGTGCCGTTTAGGCAGTATGCTATCTGACTCCCACTAGGCTCCTATAGATAACATCTCCCTGGAGCCTGGGTCACCATGGTAAGAGGTGTGTGAGCTGTTTTTCAGGAATTAGAACTCCTTGTCCACTTCAGGCCAGTTGAGACCACCAACTCATCAACTGGGCCCACACAGATGTCCAATAGGTGACCTTTTGACGTCAAGAAGCTAAAAACTCCACCCTGAGATCATGCTAACGCCGCCATTTTGGGAACATGGGTCCTATGAAGAGGCACGGAGTCTGACTACGCTTGTGCAGATCGTCAATTACCTCACCTCTCCTCACCTCCTATCACCTCTCTCCACACTTCAGACCACTTTGTCCCCTATCCCATAAATATCCCTGAGTCCCAATTTTCGGGGAAGCAAATTTGAGGCTCATGCTCTCGCTTCCTCACATGACTGCCTTGTGAGTAAACTCTCTCTGCTGCAACCTCGTCGTCTTGGTGTTTGGCTTTCTGGGCAGTGGGCAAAAACAAACCTGGTTCGGTAACAAGACCAAGTGAAAAGCAGAAGAAACAGAGCTCAGTTGAGAGCCTACCTGCAAGGATGGTGAAGTTAACTCATAGATATCACCACAGTGAGCAGCGTTGCTGGAAGAGCTGAGCCATGGAGACTTTCCCTAGTGTCGGAAGAGTCAACTATTAGACGAAGCAGCACGAACCCAGTCTTCCCTTCTTCCCCCAACCCTCCTCCTCTTAATTTTGCATATAGATTTGATTACTCAATTTAACTTTTTAGTCAATTAAAATATTTCTTCCCTGCACTAGGGTTATCCTATTTATTAGATGATAATAAAACTCATTTGAAAAACTAAAGAGAAGCATTTAATTCCAATTCATATAGGAAAGTGCATTTATAGATATTGTGAAGAAAAGTTAAGATCTGAACTTCTAAAATTTAAATTCCAAGCTTTTGGGGGGTGGGGGGATGGGCTTTGCTTCTGTTTGATTTGAAAGATGTGGATATTGATGATGAAAACAAACTTTTTAAATTAGTCGATACAAGGAGGGCCAATCTGATATAGCAGTAATCATACAGAAGTTGCAGTCCAAAGATCTGGATGCAAATTCCACCTCTTGCTCTAATGCGCTGTGTTACTACTGTGAGAAAGTCCTTTAATTTCCCCAAGCTCAGTTCTCTCACTTGTAAAATGAAAGTACTTGATAACCTATTTTCTTTTGTCCGTGTGTGTTTTAAAATCTTTATATGTGCCTATAAAAAAAGCGCAGGGGTATGTCAAGATAACAGCAACTTCCCCCTACTCGTTACCCAGAATTCTCACTGCTCAGAGGTAACTACATTTAACAGTTTGTATGCATCCGTATATACGCGACAAAGACATATATCTTACAAAATAAATGTCTACTATATCAACTATTAAACAATGCTTTTTATTTCTAACAATATTTCATGAACTTCATTTCAAGTGAGTCCAGGTAAATCTACTTCATCCTTTTTAAATGGTACATAACGTTACATTGTGCCATGGTTTATTTAACTTTTCATCCATTTGGAGATTAAGGTTGTTTCTATTTTTGGTTTTTAGCTGATACAAATAAGGCAGCAATGAACATTCTTGGACAAATATTTGTGTGCACTTAGGCTCATACGCCTGTTGACAATGGACGTTATAGAATGCTTCTAAGAAATTCATTTTTTTTTTTCTTCTTTCCTAACCATATTCTTTGGTCTAAAAACATGTTTTAGAGAACTGTAGCAAGTGATTCTGAACGACCTCTCTCTCTCTCATAAAGAAACTTGGATACAAATATAATGACATTTTACTGAAAATCTGACAGAAAGCCTGAAGAGGGGTTTTCAGAAGGTGTTATTTGATATCAGCAATAATGGGATCCAGTTTAATGTGTCAAGCTGCTAAGAATTTTAAAGAAATATTTAGAGCTTGTTGAAGGAGAATAACACAAAGTAATGGCATAGTGGGGGCAGGGGAGAGAAGTTAATCACCTAAAGAAAATCATGCAGAGTTCAGCCGAGAAGAAAAATATCCTTTCTGACTGACATAACCGAGCACAGAGAATAATTCAACTTCAAAGCCGAAACAAAAAAATTCACTACTCACCATAATTTCGGGGTAAAGATTGACAGTTTGCTACAAAAGTTAATCTCCTGATTCATGTTCAAGGCGTTGACTCAGTAGAATACCATCACTTATAGTATTGCCTAAGAACTAAGGAAATTTGCTTTTGGAGATTTTACAACTTCCTGTATTTAAGAACAAAGGTCCCTAAAAAAATGAGATGTCGTTTTAGCTGTTCACGCCTCTTTCAACTCAAATACTGCATATTACATCAAGTCGACAAAATACGGTAATTAAATCCAGTAAAATTTACTACAAAGGAAATGTAGAATATGATGGATGGCATATTCACCTGTTTCTGAAGGTGGAGTATCAAGTCAAAGAAGGGAAAGTCGGGTCAGAATGACATGGCCACCGTCTTATTTTCTTCCAACGATGCATGTATCCAACAGTGCCCGTTTACCTCTCACATGCTTTATTTGTACAGTGAGCATCCATCTTCATCTCAGAATGAAACACGTTTCCTAGATGTGAGGGAAGATTTTCAAGTTGATAAGTTATTTATGCATCAAAATTTTCTGAAAGGAATAAGAAAAGTGCAATGAGAAAATTACCAAACCCAAATCTTTGAATAGACACATAAATGCTTTTTTATCTTTTAAGGAAACTTCTTGAAAGGGGGTGAAATGAGTCCAAAAACTATTCTGGTTGGGCCAATCTCTCACCACAACTAGTGTGTTCTTTCTCTATGGCTGCATCACTGAGGAAGTTCTGAAAGTGGCATATTCAAAGAGCCTAGGGCTGATAATTTTACGAAAATTACAGTTTTTACTGCTCTGAAATTATTTATATTAATGCACTCTGAAGGAAGTCCTGAGTCTATAATAAGGCCGTATAACATGTAACTGAAACTGAAGTGTTTATGATTTCATAATATTCCGTCCTTACTTTTCCAGTATTATACTTGCAAATACTGAGAATACTTTTGGTATTGTAAAAGTATTCTAGAGGTTTTCAACATTTTCAGAGTTTCAGAACTATTCCTGTATGTGCAAAATTTCCAATATAGGGAAACGGGTATGTTTTCTATAAATCTCAGAGAAATGCTAATCTTAGGCAATAATGTTGCACTTGGAAATATGTCATTAAAGGAGGTTATATTCTACACAGCGCCCTCTTGAGAGAGAATTCTAGTCTAGATGTTTTCTGTTACCCACCTGACTTCCATTCACTCCTCTTTTGTACCCTGATTTTCCTTGTACCACCCTTTCCATAGTCTCCATACGGTGGTGTCCATCATCTCCATAGCTCGAGGGGTGGACATGTGATTCAAGTGTGACCAGTCACAGCATCACATCCCTGGCACCATAGTGATTAGTTCAGGGATGAACAAAAGAGCTCAATCCAGGCTGGGTAAAGCCAATGAGTTTCAACGCCAGGACTCTATTTTGGAAGAGAAACTTTCTATTTCCACGGGGCTTGCTTTTAAGTGATGCATACCTTCCCAAGCAAACCTTTTCTTATTCTGCTTTTGGCCTCACTCTCAACTTGCTAGAAGCTTTTAGAAAATGAAATCAACCTCAAACTTGAATATTTCACTCTTTTTTTTTGTTTTTCCTTGTTTTGATCATTTCTACCTCCTTCAGGTTGCTGATTTTTTTTTTTAATTTTGCTCTGGCCAATTCTCTCTATATCTTATTCTTTTAGAACCACAGTATCCAGGAACTAACTAGAAAATAGAAAAAAAATTTTTTTGCTTCAAATGGATCAGGATTTAGACACCATGTGGAATTCAGTTGGAGTGTTTCTTACATGTTCTTTGCAAAAATAATAAAATAAAAAATAAAACTACCACAATCAAAAAGCAGCCAACACAGCACTTTTCTTTTTTTCTTGAAGCTTGGCTGGGCATCCTGCAAAACAAAGCAATTTACTGGCAATGTGAAGTTCATGTGTCAGTTACAACTCTTTCACTTTTGTGGGGCTGAAAACTTGAACTGACTGAAGTTAAAGTAAGAAAGAGAGAAAAGAAAAGAGAGAAGCTATTAGCCCCTTTTTCAGAAATGTGTAGAGTAGAGGTTAGCTTTGGGATAAACTGGATTCAGGATCAAAATGATATTATCAGGACCCATTTTCCCTCCCTATCTCCCCTGTCTTCCACTATGTTGGCTTTATGGTCAGAATCCTCATGGTGACACTGAAAAATCAGGGCTCTAGTACCCCTTATAGCTAGAAAAAGAGAAGGCAAAGACAATCCATTCGTTAATTCATTTACTCCTGTTCTCTCCATGCAGTTGTTTTCTGCTTATAAATACATATCTGATCATGACATCCCTAAGATGGTGTCTCCAGATCACAAGTCTATATGGCTTTCCAACTCATCTCTCCAAAGTTAACTAAATCAATCAGTATGACTAATTGCAACAATTCTGGAGAGAGGCTCTGTTAGAAGCCATCTGTGTCTTCCTCTAGTCCAACCAAAGGAGCCATGAAAGTTACCTATTCTGAGCTGTAAGGCAGAGTCTCTAAGAAAGCAGAAGGGCAAAATAGGAAATGATAGACCTCTCAAGCACAACATAGTCTCGACCACAATACACACGCACATTTCAAAGCCACTTAGGGCCTTCCTGTTATGCCAACCTATTCTCCCATGTGGTATAGGAATGGACATGAAGTTAGACAACTCTCTCCATTCAGCCTAGGCAGAACTCCCACTTCCAGCCTCTCCCATGTGTTCCCAATGTGCAAACCCCCTCACAGACCACTGCAGTAGAGTCAGTAAATCTTTCAGAATACTCTAAACACAGACGAGTCCAGTAAAACCCTTGGCCAACTCCAGCTTGTTTGCTAACTAGTACCAGATATGCCAGATACAATAAGTTCAAATCTTGGCTCCATCAATTATTAGTTATGTCGTCCTAAGCTAGTCACTTAAGTTCTCATTGCCACATTTCTTGACTGTAAAATGTAACCTCCCTGATCTTTGTGGTCCTTCCTCCATAATATTCTGTGTGTCATGATTTTCCACAGCAGGCCTATTTGGTGGTATTCTCTTATACTTAAACCCCTATTATGCTCTAAGTTTTCTACTACCAATTAGCACCCAAATAAAAGACTCAAAAGAGCATCAGTGTGAAAACCTGAGTTCTCGACCCAGGCCTGACCCCAGTCGTTGTGCTGTCTTGAGGAGACGCTAAACTCGGCCCCCGATTTTCACCTATAAAATGAGGCAATTGGAGTAATTGTCTCCATGTTTCCTTCCAGTTTTATTCTAATAATACCTCTTAAGTGTAACAACTATTTTAAGACTGGAATTGAGGTAACTTAAACGTTAGCGTCATGGAAAAATTAAGATGCCTTTGTTAAATAAAGGAAATCCCAGGATGCTGTCAAATATGGAATTCTCTTGTATACTTGTGGCTAGAGAAAAAAACTTAAGAGAGCAACCTCTTAGCAAAGCTTCTGATAAACTCTGTGAGGTAATGTCCTGAGAGAATATTAAGATCCTGGAACCAACACAGCAGAAGGAAAGAGAATTCGCAGAACCCTTTCCCCTGTAATACGTTGCTGGTCTTTCGTGGGTCTGTATTTTTTCCCCCTCTTGATTCCATTTATTGGTTAACTACTAATAGTTTCCTTGGCCTCATAGTAAGCTCCATTTGTGATTTATAAAATGGATTCCAAAGCAATCTTTGTTTTGTTGCAGGTAGAAAATTGGCTTGCTGTACCTATGGCCTTTTGGGTTCAGAAGGAGACTTAACCTGAGCAGAATATTATGTCTGAGTAAGGAACCGAGCAGCCCCTGGGCCGCCACAGCCATATATCCATGGTATGCCAGGAAATAGGCTTTTGTTCAAGAATCATTTTCAAGTCACTGCCCAGGTCTCTCCACAGAAGCAAATGCCATTCTGTCAGGATTTTCTCTCTGACCTGTGCTTGAGCACACATTCCCCCACAGCATCAAACAATCTCCTGCAGAAGACTCCATCCTCAAACCATTTCATCAAAGATGTGAACAGATAACGCCGAGCTCCACAGCAGAACTAATTTTGAGTATGTGCCCTGTTTTGTGAACCTAATCACATCTTCCATATAAAAAGCAAGAAGCCAATTAGAGAGGCAAAATTCATACATGGGTATGAATGAGCATGATATCTGATGATCTAAAGAAATAAGGAGGGTGGAAAAACATTTGTTGAGCACTTACTACTGGCCAAGCTTTAAATGTCTTGTCAAATTAAATCCAAATAAGAACCCTGCAAGAGTATGGGGGCAGGCTTTCCTGCCCTTTTACAGGATTATAAAGCAACTTGCCCAAGGTCACTTAGCTAGGAAGTTGCTGAGCCAGGATCTGAACCCAGATCTGCTTGGCTTCAAAGCCTGTTTTTTTTTTTCTTTACCTCTAAAATGCCCGAATACCGTTTGACATAATTGGGAGAGCATGTGCCTCATTTCCTAATTTAGATTCACACTGATGAATATTATATGAAGTTTCCTATATACCATGGCTTCTTTCTATAGCATTTTCATAATGCTCCAGGAAGCAAAATTTTTCTCCAAATGAGACTCAGAATTTTAATATCCTGCTCACTTGAAAAGGCTGATCACACTCTGCATTCAAAACAAAATAGCTCCCCCTACAGTTTTGGCTCCATCTACATCCTCAACTTTGTCAAAGAAGGCCAAGAACCCTCAGGTCAGATGCAGGAAGGAGGAGTTGTGTGTTTGACCCTTATTGATGGAAATAATTATTAGTCCATCTGCTTAGAGAGCATCAGCGGGTGCTACTCAGGACAGGGAGGTGTCCCTTTAGCATTTTCCTCACTCATGTCTTCATCTCAGCAGAATAAATCTGTAACTGCTAAGAGTCTTGTGCTGATTTTGACTGCCGCAAAAGTGTGCTTTCTGGAGGCTGAATTCCCTTCTGACTTCCAGCGCATAGCTGGCAAAGGCAGTCTGTCCGCCTTCCAAGTGCTGACATTCCTCGGTGACATCACAAGTCCCAGCTCTGCCTGGCACCCGCTGCCTCCCCAAAACTGTTGAGAACATCACAGAGCTGTGCGTCAGCATCCTGTCGAGACGCGGTACTAACGTGCTTTCCCATGGGGCCGCAACCAGGCAAATGCCACTGATGACGCAAGGGCTGCTGGGAACTTCTCTACAGTGTCATGGGTGCCAGGGAACGTCACGAATTAGAAGTAGTCTAATGTCATTTGCTCTCATCCTTATCCCTTCCAACAGCAAGCTGTCTCCACTTCCGTTCGACTCCCTCTCCGAGGGCATTTCCCAGGGAATACGGGGGCTGAGGGTGGGAGACAGACCCTTCATGTATCCATGCAAAACTTACCTAGAGAATGAATGAAGTAAGATGGATAATCATCAGACCCCCCCCCCCCCACACACACACCTAACTGATAATGTTAAGGATTATTAAATGAGAAAATGCGGCTGAAAAGTGCCCTGTAAAATTGAAAGCATGTAAAAATAGTCATCACTGCCATGTAATGAGTTCTTCAAGTGAACTAACCACTGTGTTAACAAGTTTACATGTAATATTTCATTTAATCCTCAAAATAAGCTTATGAAGTCTGTTCTACTAATAGACCCATTTTACAGAAGAGGAAACTGAGATTTGGAGAAGTTAAATAATTTCACCAAGGTCATACAGGTATCAAAGTGCACAGCATGGAATGGAATCTATATCTGTTTGACTCCAAAGTCCATGTTCTTAGCACTCTGTGGTAACACTTCCCCCAAACAGAAATGCCAGTTGTTATGTAGCTATTTACGATGGAAAGTAAAATCGGATCCTAGGAATGATACTTAGATACCCAGATACTTGAGAAAACTGAAATTTTTAAATATGGCATGCTTTCCCCATAAAGTTGTCCTTTGCCTCCACAAATTGTCTCTTACCTTGATGACTGGACATGAGAGTTAATGTGTATAGAATGATTTGTGGCTTTTCCACATATGCCATTTTACTGGATCCTCCCAAGAATCTAGGAGAAACAGAGGGCAGGCATTACTATTATTCCTACTTCTACTTCCTAGAAAAAACAACTGAGATTTAAAGAGATTAAGTGACATGGCTAAGGCCCTATAGTTTCATAAGAAGAGTCTCCCAATTTCCAGTTTCCAGCTTTTTCTACTTCCCTGAGATACCTGGCTTGGGAACAAATGGTGACTTCAATCCTTCTACCTCCGACCCACAGCAAACCCAGTCCGTCAGACCTGCCTTCCTCCATCTCAACTAAAGATATGACTGTCCTTTCATCCAACACCTCTAACCAGGGACAGGATTAAGTCACTTATTTGCACTAATCCTCCCTGCCTACCCAGATTTGACAAGTGACTTCAGAAAATTCCCCAAGTTTTCTTGACCAGCTGAGAGGGATGAGCAATGGAGAGAATTACAAGGCAAGAGGGATGATTGGGAATGTGGCAGACTAAACATCTGGGGATGATATTGTCTAAACTGGTGAATTTATTTTAATCAAGTGGCTTAGTTCAAGCCATGATTAGCTCTCCCATGTTAATGGTATCAATGGAATGAGCTCCTAAAAGTTTCTGCTGCACCCTGTCTGGCCACTTGGATCCATTTTTCAGCAAAGCCAGTGCAATCTTACAAAAATGCAAGTCTCTTTCCAATTTGAAGCCTTTCAAATGCTTCCTAAGGCTTTTAGGATTAAGACACCAAATCCTTATAAAAACATATGACCCCAGCTTACCTGCCCAAATTCTCAGGTCACTCCCCCAGATGGTGTCTTTCCCTTCTGAGTCTTCATCCTGTCCTCTTTGCCCAGTGTACAGGAATTCTCTTTACAACCTCCCTGACGATAAGTCCCAACCTAGGCAGCCTGGCAAGATAGGCATTCCCTTGATAGACACACTGAATCATCATTTATCTGTTGAATCCTAATCAGCTCCTGGAGCCACAGAGATCTGGGCCCAAATCCCATTCTATATCACACTTGCTGCATGAGCTCTATCTCAGAGCCTCAGTTTCCTCATCTGAGAGATAGGCAACATCATAAAGTTGTAGCAGTTAAATGAGAACTTATGTAGAGTGTTCCAAATAGTCCCTTACACATCGTAAGTGTTTGATAAATATTAGTCATCATCATTATTATCATCATCACTTTCCCTCCATAACTTCTTCACTTGGCTACACTCCCCAAGTTTCCTCAACCAGTGCATAGTACTATAAACTATTTAAAAAATCAAGTCCCCACTTGACGGAGCCCAAGACCTTCTTATCTAGACAGAAAAGCTCCCGGATTATGACTAGAGGTTCCCTAGCCCTGCTGCCAAGTTTATGAGAAGTTTACTAACCAGGAACACAAGCCTGCTGCCACACCGCCTCCCAATAAGCCATGCCCACACCTCACGCCCATGCACACAGATCGAAGGGTAAATTAATTTCCCAGTTTAGTTGCTTTTGGAAATGGATTTCTAATTCAGCTTGAGTTTACAGTACATCAACCCTCTAAGTATATAGAGAATAGAAGAGAAGAGAGATGACAAGCTAAGACCAGGGGCAGCTGCACAAGAACTTCCTTTTTAACAGAAGGATAGAGAAATAAAATAAAATAAATAACGAAGGGAAAAAACCTGATGTAGTATTCTCATTTGTGTTTCAGGTTCACAGTGAAAAATCAATATGGTCTCTGTCTTTTCTTTCAAGAACTCAAATGCTTCCTACTTCAAAGCATATCTGCTTAGTTACTACCTTTCACAAAGACACAAAGTGAGACTTTAATTTGTGCAGGATGAACTGAATTTCCGAAATAAATATATGGGGTGTGTATATGAGAAGAATCTATGAATGCCAATGCAATGAAGCACACCGCCCTGCATTGATGCTGTGAGCACGTAATCGTGCTCAGCAGGATACGGGTAGACGCTACCACTATTTCATCATGCTCATGTTGACAATCTGAATACTGCACCAGATGTATCACGAAGAAGCATCATATTTTCTTTGTACCTACAGCCTCTCCTAACCATAAAGAAATGTTTAAAACAGGCAAGTGATAAAAACTGTGAGCTTGTACTTTTTTTACTCAAATGTAGCATAGTGACTACAGTGATGACACAGATCAGAGAATCAGAGAAAAGAAAGATCAATTTTTAGAGCATAAATTTACATAATTCAAAATCAACTTACCATCCAAGGAACCCAGCTCATCTTGCCTTATCACCTCAGAAGGGCAGCCGATTCAAGGCAAAGAGAGGAAATTAATTTCTCAATTCTCACTCACTTTACGACTCCCACTCCCTCCTCACACCATCAGGTCCCCATCAGGTTCTGCTCCAAGCAAATAGAGCTCAAGAGAAAGTTTACAGTAACACGTTCTCTCTCCACCTTCACGGCCTTTCTCCCTCATGACAGCCATCTACACTTTCTCTCCTCAAGGCACTCAGCACATTGCTGGATAAATCATTGGGACTCCTTTGGTTACAAATGACAGAAACTAAAATTAGTTAAGCTAAACTGGAATGTCTGGCTCAAATAGTGGAGAAGTGCAGAGGTAAGCTGGCCTTGGGGAGCCCAGTAACTTAGACAGTGTGACTACGTTTTACCATCTCCCTCCATCTCCCATCTCAGATTCTACTGATGTCCACCTTCTTTTCTACAGATTGGCTTCTTCCTAGTGGCCAGGTTGAGGGATGGAATGATAAAAGAAGCGTGAATCCAGATGACAGGCTAGCATCATCCCTGCTTAGTCACACCAGAGCCTCTCTATTCCATCATTTTGTTATATAAAATTTCAGGGAAGGAGTCTGACTGGCCTGAACTGGGTCATGTGCCCATCTTTGAAGCCATGGAAATGGGCAACTATGATTGACCAGGCCTACTGGAATGTGTGCCCATTCCTGTGGCCACAGGGCTATGTCCTGTGATTGGCAGCTCCCCAGAACCGCATGGAGCAGGAGAGGAGCAATTCCTACAAGAAGGAGATTGTTGTTCTGAGAAGGCGAATGGGAAGGCAAAAATAACATTCACTAGATCATCCCAGTAAGCCTTTATTTCCAGGATACTCACATACTCCGACTCTCTTTCACCTTAACCCAGGATCTCTGCTTCTCGTTAAATATTCCCTGTAACTGCCTTTATAAAGACAGACCTTTTGGATCCCACCTTAACACCCCATTTCAGCTCATTTTCATATTTAAATAAATTCATCCTAGCAACCAAAAGTAAATAAAAAGCAATTTAAATGTTTACTACAGTTTGATAAGGAAAAACGTCAACTTAAGAATTACTCTTCTCACGTCCAGAAAAATATTCTCTTACCAGGCATTCGCTCTTTCTCAGACTCCAAGATGCACAAAGGCAGCTCTCAGAGTCAGTTACCTGCCCTACTCCACCAACGACTGCTCTCCAAACCTGCCCTACTTTTCATTCCCCCCTTAATATTTCCGTTATTTTTCTCCTATCATCTGCTCTTTAGAGTAATTAGCCAGCATCTCCAGACTTCACCATTTACAGTGATGTATAATAAAGACCATGAAACTGGTGATCAAGACAGAACTCTATTTGGTGGGGCAAGAAATGCGGTGGAACCAAACTGGCAAAGTCAAGTTTTCCTTTAGCAGGTGTGGAGGGAGAGGTCTGTGAATATGCACATGTTGATATATTTTTCCTGCTATACCCCATTCACTTAAAGTCCAGACAGTTGGCAACAGCCACTCATTTCACAACCACGCAGGGTTACACAAAGCATGTAGCATACACCATGTTCTCATGAGATGTTACACGATAAAATGGCTTTGTATTCAAATAAATTTTGGAAGTGTTTCACAGTATAACCCTCCATTTGAGATTGATGATGTATCTTAAAGGTTCTTATAAATTCTGCAGTAAAAAAATGTGTTTAATTTCTTTTACCAGGCACTTCAGAAACTAATTGGTTGATTAAACTCTTCAAGGTAATACCTATTAAGAGTCTTTGGAATATACTTCGAAAATTATAACACCACGAGTTCATGGATAATAACACCATTTTGGGGAGAATGTTTGCTTTTTCAGAAGACTCACCCAAATGACAAAGCCCTAATGGTGGAGATGTTGGGCACAGGGCTGGCCAGTGGGAGGTACTTGGAAGCAGGACCCTCTGATATCTCATCTTCCATTGCCTGTGTATGGCTTGGAATTGCTTTCCATACACCACTGCTGAGTTCCTGGGCACCATGGGTAAGAGAAGAATAATTCTGGTCCCACTGGAAGGCCTCCCACCCATTAAATCAGTTTAGTGCTCCTACAGCTGTGATTGCACCTGAGCTCATTAGCAGTTTCCTACAAAATGGACCAGGGGCTGTTTGTCAGTGTTTCAGCAACCTTTTCCAGGCTCCCCCGCTTTTTGGTCCTCTTGAACATGCACCCTCCATCTTGCCATTTCTGGTTGAGAACCTTTGGCTTCAGACTGGGTTTCTATCTCTCTGCCTACCCCCATTGATTTGATGTTTTGTTCCAGAGGTCTAGCTCCAATTCCAAATCTACTCTCATACCCCAAAACTTAGGTTAACCTTGCTCTATTAAACTCTGATTCCAGAATCCCAGCTCAGGGATAAACTTCTAAATCACCGCTGGTCTGCAAGGGAAAAGTAAAAGTTCCTCTCAATAAATTTTACCTCTTTCTTTATTTGAATTTAGTTCTTCCTACTTGCTTGATAGTCATGTATATACACGACCTAAATCCCTTCTCTACCTCCTCCGAGATCTCAAGCTTCTTGAGGACAAAAACCTACTTTTTTCTGTATTCTTTGCAATGCCTGGGGAAAGTTGATTGCATGCAGTAAGCACTCAGTGAATGTTCACTGGCTCAATGACTAGGAGAATGAATTATCTTTTATATAGCATATGGAATTTTGCTTTTGAGGACCAAGAGAAAAGACAAAATATTTATAAATGCAATGGATAAAAGTAAGATAATGTTACCTCGTGTTAATTTAGAATTCCCTGATTCAAAAGCTGTGGTAATTGCCATAGTGTGGTGATTTTTTCCCCCCCTCTCTCTACCTCCAGGTACATCCGGCAACGTCTGCACACATATTTCAACGTCACAACTGGGATGAGAGGAGCAAAGCTATTGGCATCCTGGGAAGCCAGGAATGCTGCTAAACATCTTACAGTGCATAGGACAGCCCCCCCACAACAAAGAATTACGTGACCCAAAATGTCAACAGTGCCACTACTAAGAAACCCTACCATAGAGGTCAAGCAAAAGCCCTCCTTTTCACTGCCCAATAACAAAAGCTTGCTAAAGAAATTAGTAGCCTAAAAAGACTGCAAGTAGAATTCAAGCTTTTTCGAGTGCTTAAAGTCACCTGATTTGCTTTCATCTAAGAGTGGTCTTCATTATTGTTATTATTATTCCACTCTGTAATCACCCAGAATGCTTTGCTCATGCTATGTGTTTGACCACTTGGTGAATTTAATTGCTTAAATGCTTTCTCTTCTTAGAGATGCTTTTGTCTATATTACAGGGTAGGAACTAAATTTAATTCCCTAGTCATAGGACAAATATTTACCACAAACAATAGCATTCCAACATTTTGAATCCCAAACTGCCAGAATGGCTTCTATAAAAGAAATTGTTAGCAGGAATGCTTGGTTGGTATTTAAAGACCCAATTTCTCATAAGCCAGACAGCACACACACAAATTACCGCTTTCTTCACTTGACAACTGCTGTTTTCATCTTGACACATCCACTTAAAAATTATTTCTGACAAGAATCTTAACAGCTTTAAATCAGCCTAATTAAAGGTAATATATTTTTGCTAGGAAAGTGTTTGAAATTATACAGTATTGCACAGTTCTCTTTTCAAATCAAGTTACTGAGTGCATTAGTAAGCGCCAAAAACACCTCCACTGACATATGGCCTTCTATCAAAGGGAAACAGTTCTAATATTCCTGTGGACGTTCCTAACTGCAAAGTTATAGGTGGCAAAAATGGTTGGAGAGTTTTTCTGTACTGGATCAGCACTTGGATCTCAAATATTACTTTATATAGACATGGTAGGCAGCTTCTGATAGGGTTCCCAGGGATCCCCACCTCCTGCCACCCACACCCTTGAGTAATCCCCTTCCCATGAGTATAAACGGGACCTGGTGACTCGCTTCTAACAAAAATAATAGAGTGCAGATGATGGGGTGTCATTTCCATGTTGAGGTTACAGAAGAGTCTGACCTCCATCCTGCCAGCTTTGTCTCTGTTGCTGACATTCTCTCATACTCTCTCGCTTCTTTGCTGCCGTGTTGTCAGTTAACCTATGGAGAGAACCACACAGCAAGAAACTGAGGGTGGTCAACAGCATATGAGGAAGTGAAACTCAGTCCAACAACCCACCAGGAACTGAATCCTGCCAACAAACACAGGAGTCACATTGGAAGCAAATCTTTCCCAGCTAAGCCTTGAGATATCTGCAACCCTGTGAGAGACCCAAAGCCAGAGGACCCAGCTAAGTTGCACCTGGATTCCTGATCCTTGGAATCTGTAAAATAATATGTTGTCATTTTCAGCTGCTAAGTTTTGGGGTAATTTGTTGTGCAGTAATAAATAGATAGCTAATATACTATATAACCTCCAGAACTTTATCTCTTTCTTTTAATCTCTTCATACATAAAAGACCCATATCTCCTATGCCTTGATGGACCAGGGCCTTATGAAAACTGGACTTCAAAGGTTCAGTTTTTCCCAAGTCTTAGAGCAAAATATAACAGCACAGTCAATTTGATATAATATATCCATCAAAGCTGTTGTTACAGGTCAGGTTCCCAGGAAGTAGACTGTGAGATGGAGATTATTACCACGAGAGAAGATTATTAGGGAATCCATTAAGATTGATGGTGATGGAGGGAGAGAAGGGAGCAGGATTGAGCAGAGGGAGAAGTTGGGTGATGATACAACCACAACAAAGGCCTCAGCCTTATCCAGAGTAGCATCTTTACACATAAAAGCCTAAAACTGGGAACAATCCAAAATTGCCCATCAACAAAGTAAATTCAGACAAGGAATACTATGTGGTAATAATAATGAACAAACTACTTTAAGCTCAACAATATGCATGACTTTCACAGACATAATATTGATCAAAAGAAATCAGACACCAAAGCGTAATTACTGTATGATTCCATTTATATGAAGTTCGGGAAATGACAAAACTAATCTATGGTGATAGAGGTCAGAATAGTGGTTTCCTCTTAGGGGAGAGGGGTTAGTGACTGGGAAGGGCCATGAGGGAAGCTTCAAGGGTGTGGGGCACTGGAAACATTCTGTCTTGATCTTGGTGGCTATTACATAAGAATAGACATATGTAAGAATTTCTCAAACTGTACACTGAGTTTTTGTGCAGTATAATGTATGCATGTTATGACTTCTTTTAAAGGGGAAAAATAACTGTTAGCCTAAACAAAACAACAAGTATCTCAACCAAATATGTTCATCTTCTTTGGCCGACAAGCTAAAGTTGCAGCCACTTTTTAAAATAAACTTTCACAGCTGTATGGCCATACGTATACCTCTACCTGTAACGTACAGGACACATGCACCAATACAAAGGGAAGACACTTGTATAATGACAACAGTCTTCTCTGGCCACTTTAATTGCACATACTTTTCATTTTCTCTGTTTTACCTCTTTGATTTTTTTCAAATGAACATTGATTCTTTTTTGTGTTAAGGGAAAGAGTGATTATGCCTTAAAAATGCATTGTAATTCATTGAAGAATGGGCTAAAAGAGGCTGAAAGTGAGGTTATACATGCTGTAATCATTTAGAGTCTGTGTCAAAGAGTGAGGTGAGGAGAGTGTCTTTTTCAGGACATGAGAGTGGAGATCAGTACAGAATGGTGATGGGGAAAAGGTGCCGTGTTAAAAACCAGCTGAAAATGACCCAAGCTGAAATGCGAGGCATTCAAATGGGAATGTCCACTTTGAAGGACCTCAGCATAACTGCTGACAACCAGTTAGGGATTTCTGGCAAGCAGCAAGCAGAGACAGTGAGGTTGTCTTTACAACATGGCTCTGATCTCCCAGAAGGCCAAGAGAGAGCCCAATCCTCTGACAATGACAGGGTCTCTCTGTGGAGGCAGCCGGGGATGCTGCACAGATGCAGACTAGACAGATGCAAAGCCAGAAAGCCTCTCAGTCATCTTCAGATGTCAGAGTAACCAGGATGCCAGCCCTGTTGCCTGGGAATACCCAGAGTAAGCCACAGTGACAGGTAGATAAGGAAGGGCGTGAATTTGTTAGATTCCAAAGACTTCTAGCCACTCTGCCCCAGTGCCTACTGAAAAATTTCACAAGGATCAGACTGTTCCCAGAACCCCTTATGGTGAAGTATCACGTTCTCTGCCAGGGCAACTCAGGATCAGGGATCCCCAGGGGCGGCCGAGGGAACACAGACATTTCCATGTAGAGTTTTTGTAATAGGGGGGAAAAGATTCTTTCTCTCACAAAGAAATACTGAAAGCTCAAAAAAAGAAAAGATTTAATTTCTTTATCACATAGTAGAAATAAAACAATAACAAAAATAATAATTTAGGAAAAACAATAACAAAAATAATAACTTAAGGATTTATATTTGTGGAAGGAACAGAGAGATAGGGTGGTGGCTGTGAAAAATGCCATTTGGCGTTGTAGAAGCAAAAATAGCCTTATGATTAAGAGCCCTAGTGCCGGTTGCATGGCCTTGGGCAATGTACCTCTCCATGCAGCAGCGTCCTCCTGTATAAAGTGCAGAGAATGATCACACCCATCTCATAGATTGTTGTGAGGAATAAGGTGAATAACATAAGTCATGCGCACTTAGTACAATGCCCGGCACTTAGCAAGCACTTAGCAATATATGTTACATGATACACATTCTTGTCACAATCCTCGCTACATATCTACACTTCTCTTTTGACATTTCATTCCCGTTAAATTCTTAGTGTAAAGTCTTCTTTTCATGCCTCTTATTGTGTGCTCTTCTTTCTAAAATAGAGTCTAGCCTTATAAAAAATATATATGACAAGCCAACTGGAAGAAGGTCACAGTAAATGAAAGCAGTGTAGCACATTGCAAACCCAGACAGAAGCCTAGTTAAGACAATTATGCAAAGTTGGCTTACCTGTTTTTTCCCTTGGAGAAACATCAGAATCTTGACTCATAAAATCTGGTATGACCCATTTGTCTAAGTACCTACACATGAGAATACCCAGATGTGTTCTTTAATCACAAAACCAGAGAGGCTCACAGAACTAGATAGAATCCACATTCTATGAGGAAAGCCACATTGTATAAAACTGGTAATAAAAGAGACTAGTCTCTAGCCACTCCTCACTGAGGAATTGGTGATGACTTCTAAACAATGAAGTTGAAGAAACAGTTCTCAAACTTTGGTAACAGAGAAACTTTTTACTTTCTGTTTAGGTATTGGCTAGAAGCACAGTCTCATAGTTAGAAGGGTAGTCTTTGGCATCACAATACCTGGGGTTCTAAACCCAGCATCAATATTTGCTAGATGTGTGACTTCGGTGTCATTAACATCTCTGTGCCTCCATTCTGTTATCAGTACATTGGATTAATAGTCGTACCTGTCCCAGAAGATGATTGTAAGTATTAAACTTACTTACGATAAGGTAAAGCACTTTGCACACAGCAGGTAAATCTTTAGCTATTTTTATTAATTAATTCTTGAACAATGGATTTCCTTTATTAATTTTTTACTTATATTCACTTTAGAAATTTCAGAAAATCAATTACAAGAGAGAAAGACAAATTAAAAGAAAAACGAAAAATCTTCTGTTATCCAACCTCTCAGAGATAACCACTGTTAAGGTTTTAGAAATGTTTTCCTCCAGTATTTTTTTAATTTTTTAATTTTTCCTTCTTCTCCCCAAAGCCCCCCAGTATATAGTTGTATATTCTAGTTGTAGGGCATTCTAGTTGTGGCATGTGGGATGCCACCTCAGCGTGGCTTGATGAGCAGTGCCATGTCCACATCCAGGATCCAAACCTACAAAACCCTGGGCCACCAAAGCGGAGCACGTGAACTTAACAACTTGGCCACGGGGCTGGCCCCTCCAGTCTTCTTTTTAAATATACAATTTCAGAACTAAGACCAAAGTGTACATGGTATTTTATAACCTAATTTGTTTCCCCCAACCACCAGTTATTGAGGGAAAATGTCATATTTTACATTTAACCATACATAATGAAAAAGTCCTTGTCATTAAATATTCTTTTACAACATTATTATGCCTAACACAGAATATTGCATTGCCTCGAAGTAATTATTTAACCATTCCCCTATTACTGGATATTTTGAAGGTTTCCAAATTTTCACTAATTTTTTAAAGTGATTGACCATCCTTGGAGGTAAATGTTCACCAGATCTATGATCCTTTCCTTAAGAGACATACCTGGGAGTGGAGTTTCCCAATATCAAAAAGAATAAACATTATTAAAGCTTTTGGTGTATTCAGTGGATTTCTGTTGGAATGCATTATTCCTTCCAAAATGCTCTTTATAATTCTGGCTGGGAGTATGTGATGCTACAGTTGTTTGTCTCTAACCAACAGGATCTTTTTTCAGTTCCATTATGAAACCCACATTCTCTTCCGTGTGTCAATAGGAAGGGCTTTTCAAACTCCTTCCGAGAGAAAAGAATCCTTTCATGTTGCCTTTAAGTGGAATCGGATTATGGAAAAATATGAAACCCACAATACTTATTGTGCAACCTCTGGCAATAGCATCTCTAGATGTTGTCTTTCTCACTTGAAACTCAGTATTTTGTGTGTTTCACTGTTTACCAGTTTGGTGCTCAGCTGGAATGAAGAGCTTCAATTCCTCTTGACTATCTCTCCACTTTTTCCTTTTCCACTTTCTGGACTGGCATGTTAATTTTTTATAGGCCAAAAAAATTAAAAACATGAAATTCCCAAATGTCAACAAATTTATAAACTGGTTCACAAGTCAAATTTCCTCTAGTGGCTTCTCTTTACAATTAGAATAAATCTCGACCCTTTACACTGACATGCAAAACCACAGAAGACCGAGCTCCTGGCCAGCTCTCCAGCTGCACCGTTGCCTCTCTCTCTTTGCCTACCAAATTAGTCGCACTAAACATTCCTCAGGTCGTTTAACACTCCAAGGACATTCTGACACTAGAGTCCATGCGTGAACTTTTCCTAGTGCCTGGAAGGCTTCTTTGCTCCTTCTTGTCATTCAGATCACAGCTCAAATGACATCTCCTCATAGACCTTCCCTGGCCACTCAATCTTAAGATGGCTCTCATTCACTCTTTCTCATGTCACCCAATTTAATCTCTGCAACGCACTTGTCATTTTTCTGATCTAGAATAATATCAAAATCTTAATTGGCTTGTATCTCTTGGAAGTAGTGCCTGGCACATAGTAGGGGCTCAATAAATGTTTACTAGAAAATCTTGTTGAATGGATTATGAAAAAAAATTGCTTATTATATCTTGCTTGAAACTTCCAGCAAAAGTTGAGTTCTGGAAGGAGGGATGTTGTAACGACAATAAGGTGAACCTCTGTGAGAGGAAAATCTATGGTACAACTAGCCTTAGAAAAGTAATAATAAGCAGATCTACACATAATGGACAGGAGGAGAGAGGTTTAGGGACTTTGACAGAAAAACTTCCTTCTGATCCTCAAAAAGGAATGGAAGGAGAGACGGAACAGGAGCTAGTGCAGAAGAGAGGAAGGAAAGGAAGAAGGGGAGAAGGCAGGAAGGGCGAGAAGAAGGGATGGAGAAAAAGAGTGAATTCAAAGTAGTCCTTTGAAATGCTCTGTGGTTGAGATCTTACAGAGGCACAAGCCACATTTAACAGACCCACAGAAAACAAGAATGATGCATTATAGGGCCAGGCAACCAAGGAGAGTTTCAAGGAGGAATGTGAACTGAGCTTACAGATTTAGTAATGTTTTTTTACAATAGAAAAATAAGGAAAAGAGAAACATAGCAGAGCCTAAGCAAAGGCAAGTAGAAATAACAGTGCACAGCTGGTTCAGAGAAATGGAAATCATTTTGAGGGGCTGGTGTATGAGGTACAGAGGGCGATGTGGAGGGAACCCTGACTGCTAGTACCTCCAGAGTGGACACATGCATGCCCCTGAGAGTGGTCTCAAGGCCTGGCCAGTTCTGACCTGCAGAAGAAGAGAGGCCTGCCATGTGCTCCCTCTTCTTCCTGGTTCCCCCTCTGATTTTTCTTTTTCTTGACATCTTTATTGAAATATAATATATAAAACATCCAATTCATCCATTTAAATCTACCCTTCAGTGGTTTTTAGCATATTCGCAGAGCGGTGCACCCATCACCTCTATCTAACTCCAGAACGTTTTTAACACTCCAAGGAAGAAACCCCACGCCCATTAGCAGTCAGCCCTTATCCCCACGCTCACCCCTGGGCAAACACGAATCTATGTTCTCTTTCTACAGATTTGCCTATTCTGGATATTTCATATAAAAGGAATACATGATCTTTTCTGACTAGCCTCTTTTATTTAGCATAATGTTTTCAACATTCATTCTTGTTGTAGTGTATATCAGTACTTCATTCCTTTTCGTAGCTGAATAATATTGCGTTGTATGTTTATACCACATTTCATATATCCATCATCAGTTGATGGACGTTTGTATTATTTCCACTGTTTGGCTATTATGAATAATACTGCTATAAACATTCATATACAAGAATTTCTGTGAGGGGCCAGCCCGGTGGCATAGTGGTTAAGTTTGTGTGCTCCACTTCGGCAGCCTGGGGTTCACTGGTTCAGATCCTGGGCACAGACCTACACACCACTCATCAAGCCATGCTGTGGCAGCATCCCACATAGAAGAACTAGAAGGACTTAAGGAATTATAACTAGGATATACAACTATGTACCAGGGCTTTGGGGAGAAAAAAAAAGAGGAAGATTGACAATGGACGTTAGCTTAGGGCCAATCTTCTTCACCAAAAGAAAAGAAAAGAAAAGAAAAAAGAATTTCTGTGAGTGTGTATTTTCATTTGTCCTGGGTATACACCCAGGAGTAGAATTGTTGGGTCATATGGTTAACTTTATCTTTAACCTTTTGAGGAATTCCCTATCTACTTTCCAAAGTGGCTGCACTACTTTACATCCTCATCAGCAATATATGAGGCACCAGTTCTTCTACATCCTTGTGAACACTTCCACATCTGTCACTTTGATTACAGTTTTCCTAGTCGATGTGCAGTGCCATCTCATTGTGCTATCGCATTGCAGTTTTGACTTGCCCTTCCCTAATGACTAATGAAGTTGGGCATCTTTCATTATGCTTATTGGCTATTCTGTTCTGCCCAGTCTATTCTTCACGCGGTAGCAAAATTATAGCATTTAACCCCCGGCAGGTCTCAATACTCCCTTTCTTAAAACTTGTAAAGTTTCCTAAAACTTTACAAGACTGCCCCATTACACTTCAACTAAAATCTAAATCCCTCCCACAATATAGCGCCTGCATGATGTTACAACTTGCAATTATTTTACTGATTTGCAATTATTTTATAAATAATTTTAATTTACTAAAATAATTGATAATTATTTTCCTAATGTTTCTTTCTGGGGTATATGTCAATCTTCCCTGTTCAGAAGGGCAGAAATAAGGTCTGCCTGTCCTCCATGAATCCTCGTGTCAAGAACAATGCCTAGCATATGGTAAAACGAATGCTCACCAAATGCATGAATAATTAGGAAATTACAAAAACAAATCATTCCCCCAAAATATAGCTAGATAATGCACAGTACTATGTGAATGAAAAGTGACATAAGTGCGTGTCCTTCATTTATTTAGATGAAATAATAATGGTGTATTTACTTCTCTCATAAAAAAATATGCACTAGCTATTCTAGAAGTCAAGAATATAATGAAAGTAGACATACTTTTTGCAGTTAATTCACTTCAATCACAGTCTCTAAAGACTGTTGTCTGCTGTTGTGATATTTTCAACCAGCATAACTCGTATCCACGTGCTGTTTGCCACTCAGCAATGTAAAAAAAAATAATGAATTAGTCAGACAACAGGCCTATTACCATTATGCAGATTTATAACGCAGACTTTATTGCATAGATTGGTATTGATGTGTTTATTCTGGTTCTGTTAACAATGAACGTGTAAGAGCCAAATGAAAGTGTCAGCAGCTCCAGCGAGAGTCTGTGTCTTAACACGTTCCATGGATATTGTGATTCTCCCACAAGGCAGCCTTTGTTCAATAAAACATAAACGTCATTTTGAACTATGCTGCGAGGTTTAAGTTTCTTTGGGGTTTTGAGGTTGGTATTGCCACACCCTAAGAAATTCATTTAAGGTAATTGGAAGTTAATAGAGAAAGAAATTATTCATGCAATATGTTACTAAAAATGAAAAACTATCAGTTTGATGGCTTGTGATCTTTTACATGGAAAGCAACTTCTTCCCTTTTCCTTTCTAAATCTGTGACTTTGTGGATTAAAAAGAAAACATAACAGGAAGTAGTTCCCACATAAGCCTCACTGACCTCTTCCTCCGTACTTTTCTGTATATTCGTCCCCAAGAACTCATCTTGTTCTTCAGTTATATGAGCTTATCTCCTCCATCAACCCACTCTGTCTTATCTTGAAGCATCCACTTCTTTCCACCATCTCAGTCATCACCGGGTGTGGGACACTCATGTTTCTCCTGAACAACAGCAGCCACCATCTTACTGCTCCCCGCCTCCACTCGTGCCCCCCCGACCCCACCCTCCGCCCAGCAAGTCAGGTCATGTCACTGTCCATCATTATTGAATGAATGAATGGTTAACCCACGGGGGGGACGCAGCAATTCTAATAATCATCTTCTCATATGTATAAAGCATCTGTTCATATCCTCAAACCACACTTTGATGAGGGTGGGTGGGATTATTATTATTAACGTTGTTTCGATTTCACAGATGAAGAAACTATGATTAGGGCAGTGGGATGATGTGCTCAGGGTGACACAGTGAGTTTGGGCGCAGACGGAGCCGAGACTCTGACTTGGAGTTCCGAATTCCCAGTCCTGTGTTCTTTCCACGGCTTTTTGTTTCCTCTGCCTTCCCCCACCCCAACTCACACACACAGACATGCAGGCACACATGCATACACACACACACAACAATTTAAGTGAAATCTAGGGTGCCTAATCTGGTTTGAAGCAAATCTAAAAGCTATTTGTTTTTCTGTCTTCAGACAGAGAGAAGCTATTGCTTGCACATCTGCGATAGCAGATGTGTGCAAGTGTGAGATTATTTAATTTCCAAGATATAACCAATCATGCTGTCCCCAGAACCACCTGAGAAGAAAGTCCCAATCTCAGAACATGCACACAGCCCAAATTATCAAGACAGCCACTGAGATAAGAAAGCCATGATCTCCTCTCTCAAGAGGGGCCTCAAATTACTGTTCAGCTGAGTGTATCTAGAAAATGGGAAAGATTAGAATGCCCCTTGACACTTTTCTTCCTTTTGAGCAAGTTATTAAATGAGACAGAGCTCTTTGGGAGGCTTATTTTTCTTGTAGCTCACAGAAGGAACTTACAGCATGATGAAAGGACACTCTGATTAGGCAGGGCAAAGGAAACTAAAGCTGAGAGAGGAGACTGGAGAAAATTTAATAAAAAATAAGAAGGAGAGAATCATACAATATCTTCATACCAAAATACACATTTGAACAGGAGGCAGAGTATGACAGTGCCACAAGACTACTTCATTGTGCTACCTTATCTCTTATGAAGCATCTTAATCCCCTTTTTCATCCAGGACAAGAATGACACCCACATCCTCTGGAGAAGATGGTTAGGTGAGTATAAAGGAGAAAATACTTCGATGGGTGACTTGAAGAAGCTAGCTACCGGATGGTACATTTTCTGTAATGCTGATCAAAAAGTGAGCTCAGGAACTAATGGGAACTAAAGGGTAATCAGATGAACTTATCCCAGAACAAGGAGTCAAGCGCAAAAAAGAAAAGGGATGAATCAGGGCTTGAGTCACAAATACCTACGGAGTTGAAAGAGTCTTCCTCTTGACCACCCTCCTTGGTCCCGCCAGTATGCAGTGCCTCTTCCCTGTCCCTTTACAGCTTCTGCTTAATGAGTGCCACACCCCTCCCAGTTCAGTTTTTCTTTTTTCTCTTGCGTTCTGAGGAATTGTAAAGGGGTTGTAAAAACCAGCTTTCAGGTGCCTAGGTGAGTGACAGCAGTGACGCACTGATCTGCCAGGACCCTGTCTACACCCTGTCATATGTCATTGTCACACCGCACTCCCCACTTTCACAGTAAAAGGACATCTCTCTCTCTCAGTTATTTAAACCCTCAATTCTTGTGACTCCTTGGGACCTTCAAAAATGTTTATTCCCTCCTCCTGCAATGTTTTCTTTTTTTTCTCATCCTTCCTTAGGCCCCTGGCTTGACTCCGCCCTCTCTCCCCCTCCTGACCAGACCTGATTAATTCACTTTGTCTTATTCTCATGGTGTTTATCACAGGAGACAAAAATAGTTGATGAAATCATAATTATTTATTGTTTGTCTCTCCTGTTAGAACATGATCTAGTTTACCTACAACTGGAATCCCAGTGCTTAACTCATTGCCTGACACATAGTAAGTGCTCAGTAAAAATTTGTGGTTCCTTTTGATACCTGTCACCCTTCAAAACCTCCCCACTACATCATCTTGCCCAAGTTGTAGCTCAGTATATACTGACCAGAGGGAGGCAATTAGACGCTAATCACCAAGATACAGTAGGGCCACCCCCCCCCCCAACAGAAACCCACCTCCCTGACATGTACGCCATCCCTCCTGCTGCATAGCCAGAAATCTAGGAGTCATTCTTGATACCTGTCTTTCCCTCACTCTCACATCTAACCCATGACCTATGACTGCCAATTTTATCTACTATCTATTGGCTCTGCCAACCACTCTCCAGGTCCTCTTCACCATACTGGTCCAAGCCACCATTCTCTCCCAGCAACAGCCTTCTCCTCTCTGGTCTCACTGCTTCCCTCTTGCTCCTTTCCCCTCCATTCACTTAACAGGCAGAATGTTCCTTGTGAAACATCTACCGTGCTACCTCACCGCCTTCCATGACTTCCCACTGTTCTTGGGATAAAGAACAAAAGCTTTAATTGGTCTACAAGCCCTCATAGAAATGACCACTGTGCACCTCACCCACCTCAAACTGGAGCCAATTCCCTTTGTGTACAGCCACTCTGGCCATCTTACTGTCCTGTGGCCATGCCAAGCCTTGGTGTCTCATGACCTTGTGCTAATGCTCCCTCAGTCTTCAGTGCGCTCTCTCCCTCCCCCACCACATTAACCTCTACTAATTCTTCAGATTCCAGCTCAATCGTGCTGCTGGGGAGAGCCTTCTTTGACCACATTCCCTCCTGAGTCTAGAGCCAGTTCCTTTCCTTTACAGGGTTTAGATATGTTTCTAAATGTGTATAATTATGCATTCATTTGGTAAGATTGCTTGAGTAATGCCAGTCTTTTGTACCAGACTCTAAGGTCCTGGACAGCAGAGACTTGATATTTTAATGCTCACCATTATATCCTCAACATGTAACACAGTGCCTAGCACTAAATAGGCACTAGATAAACTTTTGTGGATGCATGGATGGATAAATAAATGAATAGTCTGAAGTGCCATTTGTCTATCATCTAAGCCAGGCACTACAAAATCTCCAGAGGGGCCAAGCAGACAGCATAAATGTGTGAATTATGCTGGAGGTTGGTAAAACGGAGCAGTAGAGAATGCATTGAAATTTAAAATTTTCTTGAAACCCTAGGTTGGCCAAACAAAACGTTTCTCCACTTTTTTGCAGCTTTTAATTTAGGCCTTTGAGGAGATTGTTCCAGGAAGCTCCTCTCTTCGGTCCCACCTACTCAGCCCTCAGGGAGGAAGGAGGGCTTTGTCGCTGACAGGTCATGAGCACAGATTCTGCCCCAAGACGTCTGCTTTCAGAACGCAAGTTCTGTTCACAAGGAACAAGGGGTATCCATACAAGTCCAAGTCCATGAAGAAGGCCATTCTGCAACCCAGAAGCCAGAGACTGGAGTTCCCACATCCACTTGTTCTGATTCATTTCATGAAGTTTAGATGACTAAAAGAGGTTTAAAACTTAAACATGTGGTATAACCTCAGCAATTCATTTGTTCAATTTTTTTTTTTAAAAAAAAGAATGAAAAAGTTAAATTTTGTAACAATAGTATGAACTCAAAAACATATCCTGGGAGCAAAAAGAGAATTGTGGCTTTGACATTCTGCCTTTTATCTTCATGGGAAAAGCAAAAGCTAAGCTGAAAAAAATGTTTCATTTTGGTAAACTCATAAGCTATTGCTTCCCCACAACTTTAAGTGATTTTTGCTGATCTGTGCCCTGACCACATAGAAATGTTCAAACAAAAACTCAAGGTCATTTTCACTTATCTTTCTTATTCTTTTCTACAAAGAAACGTCAATATATTCTAGGTTTACATATGATTTTATAAGATTTTTTCCCTTACAAATCTCTTTTCCTTTAGCTGCAAACCACCTGATTCTGATTTTCCTTTGCCATAAATCTGAATTTTTACATTTTATCTGGTATTCACAACAGATGGGCTATGAACCAAAAAATAATAATAATAATAATACAATGGGAGGAAAGAGAAGATAAAATTATTGGGCAAAAACTATACAGAAGATGAAACAACTCTCAGAGAGGATACAATGGGGACACAAGGGATAGCCTAACAACAATCAATCTGACAACTAACTTTAAATGGGGAAAAAAACATTTTCTTAATAAAACTATAAAGCCAGCTGTGTGCACCTTTAGTGTTGTTGCAATCCGGAAAGAGAGAGGATACCTTGGCATTACGTCAACCATATTTTCATGTCCTGCTATCAAGGATTTCTTCCCACCGCTGTCTCTATGCTCTCCAGCCATAAAAGAGGGCAACATCTTTAATGATGTGAAATCCACCAACTCCCGAATTCCCGACCCCCCACTGCATGTTTCCCTGAGACAAAACTCATCAGACATTTTTTACCAGCCTCGCAAGAAGATGTTATGGAAACCAATGTCCTTTCAAACCTGAGTCTAGTCCCTCCAAACATTCTAGGGGAAGGACAGGCGACAGCAGGATCAACTGAGTGAAGATGTGCCCACAAGTTTTAAAGTTAGGCTAAAATTTATGATTAAAGGCAGAAGAGCAATTTATACTATGATACAAAACATTTAAATAGGAAAATTTCAACTCATCGTATGTACTATGCCTACATGACGCCAAATAGTATACTTGAAAATCATACATTAAAACAGCTGTCTTCATGTTAGTGACTTGCTGTCCAATTTATATAGGGTCCCACTCCTGCAAAACTTTTCCGCTGTGTACTATTGTCTTATTTTTTAATCCCTTAGCAGAAATTCAAAAGCTGCCTTTATCTGATAGAAGAATTTCATCTCTCATGAGAAAAGCCACTGATAAAACTTGACTTTCAATCAAAACCAAAACTTCATTTCCAAAAACCTCTAGGACACAGCTTTCAGCAAACTTAGAAAAACATTCAAATGGGAGTTTTCGTTGTTGTTGTCAATTTTTAGAAGGATTTATCCCTTTTGTATTAAAAGCTCATTTGGTCACAAGTAACAGAAATTCATTGAGTCTCGCTTTGGGGTAGGGAATGAACAAGAATACACTGTGGAACTCAAGGGCAGGAAATAGCTCAGGAAGAATGGGATCCAAGAACGGGACAGCCAGTCTCTGAATCTCTTGATCTCTCTGCATAAGGTTCTGTCATCTCTGCATCTCTGTGCAGTCAGCTTCAGTCTTTTCTCTGTAGGACAGTTTTCTCTGCCACTCTAGGCACACATGACAAAAACTGGCCATTCCCACAACTGGAAAGATTGCAGGTCCTCTATTGAAATGATTAGACAGACTATCTTTCTTGTCTCTGAATTCCCAGGTGGAATTCAACTGCCAATCAGCTTTCAGCAGAGGGGCAAGTTTTCATAGTAGAACAATCTGGAACTACTCAGGCAAATTATATACATGCATTTCCTGTGACCTAGAGATTCTACTCCAAGGAAAATTTCACAAAGGTTCACAAAAGGACATGAATAAAGATGTTCTTTGTACACTATTGTGGTGGCAAGAAGTTGGGTTTCCCTTACTGGGAGAGGAGATTAGGTAAAATTCAGTGGATGTACATTACAGAGTATTATGCAGCAGTTAAAAGCAAAGGGCTACACGTAGCCACGTGAAAGATCTTTCTTGAGGGCACAGCTTTGTCACACACCATGTAAGCCTCATATGGACAGAACAGAAATCCCAGGGAGAAGGGATGCAGCAGGATGCTGGACTTACAGTTGCCCTATACCACAGTATTCCATGGAGAGATTTTCCTGGGCAAGAGTGCAGCCAGATGTATCATGGGCTGTGCTTCAAGAGGGAGATTCACCCATTCTTATAGGGCTTATGAGTTGCCTTGTATACAATGCCAAAACAGGCTGTGTGTGGGTGTTGACTATCAGGGGAGTTGCATGCCCATGCTGATAGCACGTGGAGAAATCTTTGGGAAATTGATTTCTCATCCCACTAGGAAAGGGGAGGAGCCCCCAATTCTAGCCAGCTTTTTCCAGTTAACTGGAGGAGAACACTGGATCCTGCAGTTATCATCCTATTGGTCACTGAAATTTTAAATGCACAGTGCTTAGTGAAAAAAGGTAGGAAATAGAAAAAATGTTTATAAAACAAGAAAGAGTACCATTTGTTTAAATGGGAGTGGGACATGTGCAAATGAAATGAAGTGAATGATGAACAAATAGAACAAAAGAGGATCGAGAGTTTGGAGGATGGTGGCGTAAGAGAATCCTGAACTCGCCTCCTCTCATGGACACAACGAACCTTCAACCACATGTAGAACAGTTCCCTCTGAGAGAGATCTGGAAACTGGATAAAAAGGGCCTCTACAACAAGGGACAACACAGAGATGGGTGGAAGAGGCAGAGATAAAGCCCTGCTGAAGAAAAAACCACATCCTAGCCGTGGTGCTTCATGGTTAGGAACAATCTCAAAGGTACGGAGCTTTCCCCAGAGGAGTAGGGGATTCGAGATCTGCATTAGGCACCTCAGCCCTTAGATCCAGCACAAGAGAGACAAGATCCCAAAATACCTGGCTTTGAAAACCAATGGGGAATACACCCAGGGAAACTATAGAACTTCATGGAAAGGAAAACCTGCTCTTAAAGAGCCCATGCACAGACTCACTCAACTTGGAAACCAGCACAAAAACACAAGATAGAAAAGTGCATAGCCCATTGGTAAAAGAAACCCATTTACTAAGCTGAGAGTGCATCCTAGAGAGGCAGGAGGAGGCAAGGCTCATCCTGCAGGGACTGAGACACTGTCAGCTGCCATTATTGTGACCTAGTCAGCTGTGCTAACACAGATGCTGGCAGGCACCATTGGAATCCTTTCTCTGGTCTGTTAGTGCTATGGGTCTGTCCTGCCCACTAGAGTACCCAATGCAGTCAAGAGCAACCTGGCAGTGCAGGCAGCCTGCCCCAATGACCTCCCCCACCCACCAGCAAGCCCCCAGCAGACTTCACCACAGGGCTTTACAAACAGCCACACAGGGCATCTGCCCTGCCTACCAATGCCTGACATGGTTGCACACAGCCAGCCCAGGGCCTGCCCCACCCATCAGTGCACCTGAGGCAGCCGTGCACCACAGGGCCAGGTAGCCAGCTTGTACCAGAGGCCTGCTCCATGCAAAGCTAACTGGCAACAGCTGTGTGCTCTGCAGCTAGCCTCACTGGAAGCCTGCCCCACCCACCAACACATCCAAGGCAGCTGAGTACTGCAGGGCCATGCAGCCAGCCACACTGGGGGCCTGCAGCAGTTGTGTACCCCCAGTCTTAGCAACCAACCACTCTGGGGACTTGACTCACTTACCAGCAAAACTGCAGTAGTTGTGCACTACCAGACCTCACAGCCAGTTATGCAAGGGGCTTGCCCTACCCAATAACATACCCATACAGCCACACATGGCCAAGCATCACAACCAACCAGCCCAGGGGCCAGTCCAGCCTACCTGTGCACCCGCAGCAAGAGCAACCCCACCACAACAAAAGTATATATGTAGCCCACACAGGGAACACCCCTGGAGCATTTGTCAAGGATGATGAGAAGGAAGCACACTGTTGGGCCCCAGAAGGCATCTCTTATATAAGGCCATGTTTCCAAAATTGGAAGACATAGCTAATCTTCAACAAAGAATTAGAAAATATAAAGAAGAACCAATCAGAGCTAAGAATACAATAATGGAAATGAAAAATTAACTAAAGGAAATCAACAGCAGAGTAGAGGACACAGAAGAAGGGATCAGTGATCTGGAAGACAAAGTAGAGGAAATCACTCAAGTTGAACAAAAAAAAGAAAAAAGAATTAAAAAGAATGAGGACATTCTAAGGGACCTCTGAGACAACAGCAAGCATACTAACATTCGCATTGTAGATGTCCCAAACAGAGAAGAGAGAAACAAAGGGGCAGAGAACTTATTTGAAGAAATAACAGCTGAAAACATGCCTAACCTGGGGAAGGAAACAGACAGCCAGGTACAGCAAGAAAAGAGAGTTATCAAACAAGATGAACCCAAAGAGGCCTACACTAAGACACACTAAAAGTAAAATGTCAAAAATTAAAGATAAAGAGATAATCCTAAAAGCTGCAAGAGAAAAGCAACAAATTACATACAAAGGAAACCCCATATGACAATCAGTGGACATTTCAGCAGAAACCTTATGGGCTAGAAGGGAGTGGCATGATATATTCAAAGGAAATATGCCGAAAGGGAGAAAACTATGACCAAAAATACTCTATCCAGCAAGGTTATCATTCAGAATGGAAAGAGAGAGAAAGAGTTTTGTAGACAAGCAAAAGCTAAAGGAGTTCATCACCATTAAACCAACCTTACAAGAAATGTTAAAAGGACTTAGTTAAGAGAAAAAGAAAAGTCTACAAATAAAAATAAGAAAATTATCAAAGAAAAAATATTTCTGGTAAAGGCAAATATACAGTAAAGGTAGCAAATCAACCACCTATAAAGCTACTATGAAAGTCAAAAGAAAAAATACTAAACTGTCTATATGTAGGATAAAAAGTTAAGAGATATGCAAAAATAAAGATGTCAAATATGATGTCAAAAATTTAAAACATGGCAGGGGGCAGTAAAAGTGTAGGGCTTTTAGTAAGAGGTCAGACTTAAGAGACCATCAACTTAATATAGATTGCTATTTACATAGGTTATTATACATGAACCTCAGGCTAACCATAAACCAAAAGCCTATAATTAATATACAAAAAAAAATTTAGAAAGGAACCCAAACATAACACTAAAGAAAGCCATCAAATCACAAGGGAAGACAGCAAGAGAAGAAGAAATGAAGAGAGAACTGTAGAAATACCCACAATGGAAGTAACGAAAATGGCAGTAAGTACATACTTTTCAATAGCTAATTTAAATATAAATGAATTAAATGCTCCATTAAAAAGATATGGGGTGGCTGAATGGATAAAAAACCAAGACTTATATATATGCTCTATACAAGAGACACATTTCAGACATAAAGACACAAACTGAAAGTGAAGAGATAGAAAAAGATATTCCATGCAAATTAAAATGAAAAAAACCTGGGGTAGCAATATTTATATCAGATGAAATAGACTTTAAAACAAAAACTGTAACAAGACAAAGAAGGGTATTACATCATGATAAGGGATATAACACAGAAAAATCTATGCACTCAACATAGGAGCACCTAAATACAAAACGCAAATACTAACAGACATTAAAGGAGAAATTAATAGTAACACAATAATAGCAGGGGACTTTAACACTGTGCATAAATCAATGGATAGATCATTCAGACAGAAGATCAATAAAGAAACATTGGCCTTAAATGGCACATTAAAACAGATGGACTTGATAGAGATAAACAGAACATTCCATCCAAAAACTGCAGAACACACATTCTTTTTGAATGCACATGGAACGTTCTTCAGGATAGGTCACATATTAGACCACAAAACAAATCTCAATAAATTTAAGACGATTGAGTCTTTAAATTTAAGCATCTTTTCTGACCACAACTGTGTGAAACTAGAAATTAACTACAAGAAGAAAACTGGAAAATTCATAAATATGTGAAGATTAAACAAAATGCTACTGGACAACTATTGGATCAATGAAGAAATCAAAGGAGAAATCAAAAAATACCTAGAGACAAATGACAATGAAAATACAACATACCACAATCTATGGAATACAGCAAAAGCAATACTAAGAGGTAAGTTTACAGCAATACAGACCTACCTTAAGAAACAAGAAAAATTTCAAACAAACACTCTAACATTACACCTAAAGGAACTAGAAAAAGAAGAGGAAACAAAGCTCAAAATCAGTAGAAGGAAAGAAATAGTAAAAATCAAAGTGGAAATAAATAAAATAGAGACCAAAAAAACAACAGAAAAGATCGATGAAACTTTGGAAACAAAGAGCTGGTTTTTTGAAAAGATAAACAAAATTGACAAACTTCTAACTAGACTTACTAAGAAAAAAGAGAGAAGCCTCAAATAAATAAAATTAGAAACAAAAGAGGAGAAATTACAATGGATACCACAGAAACACAAAGGATTCTAAGAGAATACTATGAAAAGCTATACGCCAACAAATTGGATAATCTAGAAGAAATGGATATATTCTTGTAATTAAACCACCATCCAAAATGGAATCAAAAAGAGAGACTCTGAATAGATTGATCACTAGTAAAGAGATCAAAATAGTAATCAAAAACTTCCCCCCTAAAAAATTTCAGGACAAGACAACTTCCCTGGTAAATTCTAACAAACATTCAAAGATGTAATACCCATCCTTCTCAAATCTTTCAAAAGTTCGAAGAGGAGGGGGCTCTTCCTAACTCATTCTATGAGGCCATCATTACCCTCACACCAAAACAAGACAAGGACAACACAAAAGAAAGGACAAAGGATAAAAAAAGAAAATTACAGGCCAATATCTCTGATGAACATACAGGCAAAAATTCTCAACAAAATATTAGCAAATCAAATATAACAATACATTAAAAGGAGCATAAACCATGGTCAAGTGGGATTTATACCAGGGATGCAGGGACAGTTCAACACCCACAAGTCAATCAACATGATACACCACATTAACAAAATGAGGAATAAAAATCACATGATCTCAATAGATGCAGAGAAAGCATTCGACAAGATACAGCATCTATTTGTAACAAAAACTGAAGAAAATGGGTACAGAAGGAAAATGTCTCAACATAATAAAGGTCATATATGGCAAACTCACAGTTAACATCATACTCAGTGGTGAAAAACTGAAATCTATCCCTCTAAGAACAGGAAGAAGACAAGGATACTCACTCTCACCACTCTTATTCAACATAGTACTGAAAGTCTTAGCCAGAGCAATTAGGCAAGAAAAAGAAATAAAAGTTATCCAAATTGGAAAGGAAGAAGTAAAACTGGCAATATCTGCAGATGACATGATTTTATATATAGAAAATCCTGAAGAATCCACCAAAAACCATTAGAAATAATAAACGAGTACACTAAAGTTGCAGGGTACAAAATCAACCTACAAAAATCAGTTGTATTTCTACACACTAACAATGAACTAGCAGAGAGAGCAATCAAGAATACAATCCCATTTACAATAGCAACAAAAAGAATAAAATATCTAGCAATAGATTTAACCAAGGAGGTAAGATACCTGTTCACTGAAAACTATAAAAAATTGTTGAAAGAAATTGAAGAAAACTCAAAGAAATGGAAAGATATTCCATGCTCATGAATTGGACAAATTAACATAGTTAAAATGCCCATACCTCCTAGAGCTATCTACAGATTCAGTGCAATCCCTATCAAAGTCCCAAAAACATTTTTTATGAAAATAGAAAAAAGAACCCTAGTATTTATATGGTATAAAAAAAGACCGCAAATAGCCAAAGTAATCCCAAGAAAAAAGAACAAAGCTGGAGGCATCACTCCTTGATTGTAAAATATACTACAAAGCTATAGCAATCAAAACAGCATGGCACTGGCAGAAAAACAGACACACAGATCAGTGGACTAGAATTGAGAGCCCAGAAATAAAACCACATACGTATGGATAGCCAATTTTAGACAAAGGAGCCAAGAACATACAATGGAGAAAGGAAAATCTCTTCAGTAAATGGTACTGGAAAACTGGACAGCCACATGTAAAAAGAAATGAAAGTAGACCATTATCTTACACCATACACAAAAATTAACTCAAAAATGAATTAAAGACTTGAACGTAAGACCTGAAACCATAAAACTCCTAGAAGAAAACATAGGTAGTATGCTCTTTGACATCAGTCTTAGCCATATCTTTTTAACTATCACGTCTTCTCAGACAAAGGGAACAAAATAAAAAATAAACAAATGGGACTACGTCAAACTAAAAAGTTTCTGCACAGCAAAGGAAACCATCAACAAAACAAAAAACAACTCACCAATTGGGAGAAGATATTTGCAAATCATATATCTGATGAGGGAATAATATCCAAAATATATAAAGAACTCTTATAACTCAACAGCAAAACACCAAACAACCCAATTAAAAGATGGGTGGAGGATCTGAACAGACATTTTTGCAAAGAAGATGTTCAGATGGCCATAAGGCACATGAAAAGGTGTTCGACATCACTAATTATTAGGGAAGTACAAATCAAAACCAAAATGAGATATCACCTCATGCCTGTCAGAGTGACTATTATTAGAAAGACAAAAAGGGCCCAGCCCAGTGGCACAGTGGTTAAATTTGCACATTCCACTTTGGCAGCCTCGGGTTCACTGGTTTGGATCCCAGGTGTGGACCTACGCACCACTTGTCAAGCCATGCTGTGGCAGGCGTCCCACATATAAAGGAGAGGAAGATGGGCATGGATGTTAGCTCAGGGCCAGTCTTCCACAGCGAAAAAGAGGAGGATTGGTGGCAGATGTTAGCTCAGGGCTAATCTTCTTCTTCTTCAAAAAAAAAGTTAAAAAAAAAAAAAAAGACAGGAAATAACAAGCATTTGAGAGGATGTGGAGAAAAGGGAATTCTCGTACCCTGCTGGTGGGAATGCAAACTGGTGCAGCTACTATGAAAAACAGTATGGAGATCCTCAAAAAAATTTAAAAATAGAACTATCATACGATCCAGCTACTGGGTATTTATCCACTACTGGGTATTTTTCCAAAGACCATGAAAACATTAATTTGAAAAGATATACGCACCCCTATGTTCATGGCAGCATTACTCACAATAGCCAAGACCTGGAAACAACCTAAGTGCCCATCAACAGATGAATGGATAAAGATGTGGTACACAGACACAATGGAATACTACTCAGCCATCAAAAAGATGAAATCTTGCCATTTGCAGCAACCTGGATAGACTTTGAGAGTATTATGCTAAGCAAAATAAGTGAGATGGAGAAAGCCATGTACCACATGATTTCAGTCATAGGTGGAAGAGAAGAAAACAGCAACAGCAGAAAACACTTAGATACAGAGAACAGATGGGTGGTTACCAGGGGAAAGGGAGACTGAGGGAGACATAATGCGTAAA